TCGAACGACCCTTTCACAGGGGTCACCTAAGACCATCCTGCATATCAGATATTTACATTACGATTCATAACAGTAGCAACATTACAGTTATGAAGTAGCAATGAAAATAATTTTATGGTTGGGTCACAACATGAGGAACTGTATTTAAAGGGCCAGAAGGTTGAGAACCACTGTTCTAAGGGCAGCTCTGTAGTAATAGTTTAACCTTTGTGTAAAGCCACAAGACAAAGAGACACAGACACGCTTGACTCAGGGGCTTGGGGACCATGTGTGCTGCCAGGTTGCCCTCTGCACCCACACACTCCATTCCCGGGTTCCAGAAGAGCCCAGGTTTTCCATGGCGACCCTTCCGTGCCCTAAAAAAAATGATGGGGATGATCCTACCCTGGATCCCAGGTGTCCTTGCAACGCAGGTCTGGCCCATCAGAGTCCCACTTCCGCCTGCTGAAGTGATTGGCTCACTGCATAGGGCTCAACATGCCGCAGACTGAGTTCTAGGACTTGTGTGGAGCTTGAACTTCACACGAGCTTGACGTTGCTAGGGTAGGGGACCACCTTGCTGCTTCAAGGAAGAGCTGGAAAAGAATGGCACCGACAAAGAGAAAAGCGGAGCCCTGGCAGTGTGGCTCAGGTGGTTAGAGCGTCATCCTGTGTACTGAAGGGTCACAGTTTGATTCCCAGTCAGGTCACATCCCAGGTTACGGGTTCGATCCCCAGTCAGGGTGTATATGGGAGGAAACCAATCAATGTTTCTCACTCACATAGATGTTTCTCTCTCTCTCTTTCTCCCTCTCCCTTCCTCTGTAAAATCAATGAAAAACATCTTTAGGTGAGGAAGGAAAAAAGAAAGGGAGGAAGAGAGGAAGAAAGAGAGAAAGAAAAACAGAGATGAAGAGAGACCGAGCCTTGTGCACCCCTAGATCTGACGCAGTATTTCTAATTCTGAGTCCACAGGCAGTTTTCCTGGCTTAAACCAGGTAGAGTCTGATTTCTGTCACTTGCAACTGGGA